AAATAACATACAATATATCTGTCCCACCAGATAACCCACCAACCTATGTACAATATGTCTGTCCCTCCAGGTGACCCACTACCGACAGTACCCCCCCAACACCAGCATCATCTACTCCTACTTATAGTATATATATACCCATAATGTGTCTGTCCCACTTATTTACGTACGATATATCTACCCCACCAGGTGACCCACCACCGCCAGTACCCGCCCAACACAAGCATCGTCTACTCCTACTTCGAGAGCCGCGGGGGCAAGTTCCCAGCCACCTGTTTCTTCGGCCTGCAGTACATCCTGAAGCGCTGGCTGGTCGGTCAAGTGGTCACTCGGGAGAAGATTGAGGAGGCCAGGGAGATCTTCCAGCTGCACTTTGGACAGAACGTCTTTAACGAGGAGGGATGGAACTACATCTTGGAGGTATTCTACATCTTTTTTTTTCTCGTTATTATTACCTGTATTATACATTTCGTTTTCGAATCGGAACTGAAGTTTTTGATACAGTGTATTTTTGTTTGTAGAAAAACAAACAAACATTGCAAAGAACAAAAGCTTTTCTGACAGCAGAGCACATAAAAAACGCGAATATTTCTTTTATTTTTTTTCTTTTTGTTGTTGTCATACCGGGCTCCATAAGACGCTGTTTCGCGGCCTAGTAGTGCAGTATTTCAGACAGCGCACTCAATGTTGAAAAAATGGAGATGGGACAAGAAAGCACTGAGCTCGTGATTTAGCGAATAACTTGAATTCTGGAATTTCTTTTTATGAATAAGGATTGGGGAAAAGTTGCACATGAAAAAGTAAGTTTTACGGCACTTACAACACAATAAACGAGAATTCCCAGTGACTAACAGTGGGTGGATGGCGGGTGCTCTGGTGTGGTTAGCTTTTTCTTTTGTATCGAATATCTATCGTCCTGACCTCTTTTTCTTCTTTTTTGTGTTTGTTACCATCTAATCTTCGGCACCTATATAAAAAGCTAACCACACCAGAGCACCCGCCAACCACCCACTGTTAGTCACTGGGAATTCTCGCTGGTACTTGCTGTGTTTGTTGTCGTTGGTGCTGTGTTTGTTGTCGTTGGTGCTGCGTTTGTTGTTATTGTGGTTGTGGTTGTTGCTGTTGTTGCTGCTGTATTTTTGTTTTTATCTTTGTTATGAGGGTGTGGTGGCGGAGCGGTTAGTGCGCTCCTCTCTGAAGCGGAAAGTCCGGGTTTGAGCCTCGGTTTGTACAAGGATTTTTTCCGCCCCCTCCTGCCCACCCAGCAGTAATGGGTACCTGACTTCGAGTTGGAGAAGTAAAGGCGGCGTGGAAAGGAACTGGCCACCCTACCCCAATATGCCGAAGGCCCAGGAAGTTGTCTCACTAACAAGGCAATCCCCAATGTCCGGATTGGATGAGGGAACAACTTTAATCTTTGTTATGGTTTCTGTTTGTGTTTTTGCTGTTGTTCTAAATGATAAGAATGCTATTGGCTACCTCCTATTTTTCTTCTCCCCCCCATTACCC